TTGATTTCGATCGCGATGTCACAACAAGGAGCGACTTTGCAAACGTACAACAATGAGCTAGTGAAATGTAAGTGATGGTTTTTCAATAGAAGTCATTAATTATGGGTTGAGTCAAGTAAAACTTGACAAATAAAAAGTGACGTGGTTTAGAGATAGTCTATCGACGTTCGTTCAGGTTTGTAGTGTACTGTACAGGTTTTTGCACGCTAATATCTAAAAATTTCATTTCATATTCAAAAACTCGCTTCTTTAAATTTATGTATCAGGTATAGAGGACCTTTGCACCAAAAGAGACGAACTTCAGAAACAAATACTTAACGAAGAGGAGGAGAAAGCAAAAATTCAAAACGACATTCGAATTCTCAGCGAAAGGTTGGCAAAAATCAACGAAAGCCTCGCTAAAAAGATAGCTTCCAGAACTGAGTACGACAAAACGATTGCTGAGACAGAAGCAGCTTATATGAAGGTGAGCTTTAACTTACAAGAAAATAACCTATTGTGGTCAATTTGTTCAGAAAAACACTCTGACTGCTACTCAGGGAGTGTCCTTAAAATTACGAATGTCAAATTTGGTACCCAAACCCCTCCTTCACCATTGAAGATTTGGCGGCAGGGGAGATGGAGAAGTGAGGAACTTTTAAAAAATTGAACCTCCTCCATCTTAATCGGTGGTTGAAGGAAGAGGGAATACTTAAGATTCACTCACAAGCTAATAGGAATAGATGTAGAGAGCAGGGACCTTGGTTGTACAAATTGGGAGTTGCATCAGCTTAATGACTGAAATGTCTGAATTCAATCCTTGGGCCAGGGTCAATCAACTCGTTGTGTTTTGCTCTTGAAAAATACTCTTAGTTCCTGCAATGCCTCTGTCTACCCAGGGCCCAGATGTTCAAAGTGCAGATAACACTTTCCCACAAAAAATTTGCTATCCAGCAGTTTAGTGTCAACAAAACATACTGCATCATCCACCAGATAGAAATTTATCCTGTGGATAGCATTATCCACCCTTCGCAAACTGTCAGGGAAACCCAGATGAGAGAGAGGGTGAATTTGCAATGGGTTAGCATAACTCCCAGTCACCTCATGCTAGGCTGTGGCAATTTGGGACCATTTAGTTCATACCTATAATGTAAAGTTATCTACTGAAGACTTAACCTTTTGAGTTTGTACAGAAAAGGCAGAGCTTGTGTAGCATTTGGACAAGGCAGTGACAAATCAACATTCCTTTGTGACCAAAGTGCCTTTATTTAACAGTAACTGGCCAAATAGTGGTCAGCCAAAAAGGGTTAATTTAGATGGAAATTTACCTGGACCACAAAGCCAATTGTTAGCCCATTAACTTCCAAGATCTAAGACTCACATCTGCTAAGTGGTGATAAAACATTTCTTCTTCAGTTGGTCTGTGAGAACAAAATCTACTATTTGTTTATTTTCTTACCATGACCCAGTTGTCAATTCACACATCAAACTAAATATGAAATAACCATCAGCACTTTTCACAGTGATTGCTTGTATAAAAGAAGGGAATTAATAGACAAAAAATAGAGAATGTACTGATTCAAGCATTACATTCAATTACATTCAGTGCAGGTTGCATCACAGTTTTAATTCCCATGGACAGGAAACCGAAATATTCAGTATATGGTTTTCTGGAAAGATTTGGGATGCGTCTAGTTTTTGGGTAAAAGAATCCCAGAAATAGATGAGTGTAAAGCAGGACCAGAAGAGGAGCCTTAAATTTTTGGGTTCCTCTCTGCATGAGGTTTGATGTTTGAACTGGGCGTAAGATACAGACAATCCTAAAAATGGGGGAATGATTTTGATGCACTACTTACTGGAATTTGAGCTGTTTCAATGAATAACTGCAAATTTCAGTTATTCATTGGAATAACTCAAATTCTGGTAAGTATTGCATCAAAATCATTCAAACATACATTTTGTTTTTGTTCCAGATTCTTGAAAGTTCTCAAACACTTCTCCATGTTCTAAAGAAAGAGACAGGGAAAGATAAATCACAGCCAAGTCACAGTCAGGGATCACTGCGTGAAAAGACTGGAACACAAACATGAAAACTCTTATATACTTCCCTCACACCCTGTCATTAGACTGCAATTATATTTAACAATAATGAACTTTGTAAGGTTACAGTAAGTACAGTAAAATTATTTTCTCCAGGACTTAACTTCTAGTCCAAGTAAGTCATCAGAATGTTATCACCTCACTTTTAAAAGTAGAAAAATTGATGTGAAATAAATAATTTGTTTTTTGAGAAAGATGTTTTTCATCTTGTCACAGGCATGGGACAAAGAAAACATTGTGTGTCCATATGAGGAATCGAACCTCAGACCTTTGAATTCCATGCTCTGATGCCCTACTACTGAGCCACAAGGACTCTATGGTGAATAAGGTCTATTACAAAGTTAAGCTATTTCTCTACCAAGCTCAAAACTTGCCATCTTTCTTATTCTAACTTGTCTCTAGTCAGTACTATATAAAATAGTTTTGGTTGGGATAAATTCCAACTGGCTGTAGATAAAATGTTGCCTTTCCTGCATATTTCAGCTGAGCAGAGATAAACACATTGAAAAGGTGTGGGACAAGAAGTGCAATGGCTGTTTAAGCCCCTCCTATGCATGATTTGCCATTCTCACTCTCTTCATGCCTCCATTGCACTGCCCTTAGTTGGCCTGAAAAATCCAAATTTGTGCCTTCCCTGTAGGTCACTGCTTATTGAGCATACAGCCTTAGAGTTTTCCAAATCCTTCCTATTTTTCATTTTTAATTGATCAGTCAAAATTCATCTCTGAGTCAGCTTCTGATCTAAATATAGAAGACCTATGTTGTAATGACTGGAGCCTTTTATCCCTAACAGTGACTAGTGTATTAATTCTCTTGACAGTATCTTCCTTAAATTTAATGTAAAAGTCATGAGACTGAAGGAAATGATCACCAAATTAAGAAGCTCCTGGTGGTCAAACGAATTGTCTTTGTTGGCACCATGGGAAATGTGAAGAGAATAGTTTGGAGAATGTGAATAATATTGTTGGATGTACTGGTAATAGGGTTGAGATTAAGCAAAAGTGTTCCACACCCAAGAACATGTTTTTATTGTGCCAAACATTAAATATAGGCATGTGTAGCATGCAAGAGTGACTTTTTTAGCTGGATAGGTCAAGATGGGACACTGTGTTCCTAATGTTTTCATAACTTTCAAGAAAGAAAAAAGAACAGAATATCACATTACTTCAAGAGAAAGAGAAAAAACATAAATTATCTAAACTCACACAGGTATTTTGTGGTTTATTATCTCTATTGTCTAATTACTGAGCAGAAATAAAATGCATAGGTGCCACGCTTACTGTAGTCTCCTTTACAGCTGTTGTTTGGTCTCATCACACAATGCCCTCTATTCCATGTTGGAGAGAGAGAGAGTCATTGTGTGACAAGACCAAACTTGAATGGTTGTGGAAGAGACATTGCTAACAGCTGCTCCTCTAACAGAAAGAAAATCAAACTTATTCGTCTACAGTTAGTTGCCTCAAAAGTATAATTCCATGTAATTTTACTGCAAAAAGCAGACTGAAACTGTTTAATCTCCAACAGACCCTTACTAAAGATATATTACAATCTCATATGAGAGAAGATACAATGAGCAAGAGAAAGGATAATATTTCAAAGAGCTCTTTGATTGGTTGTTGCCTATCTAGACCTTGTCTTCTGTGTGTGAAATACATAATAAAATGCAGATTGTTTACAAGGAATTAACACTCGATTGGGTTAATTCCAAGGTAGCTAAAAGCAAATTTTATTCATAGACTGAAAGTCAAAACATATGAAAATGTGTGGAAAATTCACCATCAGTGGCACAAAGTTTCATGTGAATTTTTCTCAGTGGCGTTGGACAATGCAGTTAGAGTATGTGATAAAATGCAAAATTTCTGATTAATGTCATGGTTTTTGCACAGCTCCCTGATCCCATGAAAACAAGAAAACAATACTCAAACGCTGTGATTGGTGCATAATATCCAAATGCTGTGATATGTTTGATGCGAGATAGAAACACTAATCTAGCAATCTGATTGGTGCAAGATACATATTCTAATGCAGCAACCTGATTGGTGCTAGATACATACCCTAATGCGGCAATCTGATTGGTGTGTGCAACATACCACTGTACATGCTAACATAGAGTTATTTTATTCATAAAAAAAACTCAGAAAGGCTTGGGCATTGTAGCATTTTTTTTAAAAGAATTGAGAATCCAAAAAAAACGTAATTCCAGGACATGAAGCCTTTGAGTTTTCCCAGACCATGGTAGGTTTCTGAAATTAGCAGGATTATACTAAAAGGGACATCAAAATTAAATGACAACAAAATGTTCAGAAATTGAGAGGTAAAAAGGCCTCAGTAAAAGTCTACAGTAACTATACTTGGCTATATTTGAATATTTCTTAAAGAAAACGCTAAAAAATATGCATAGCTATTTACAATGTCTTGCAAATAACCAATCATCTATGAAATGCCTTCTTTCCTCCAGTCTCCATTCTAAAAGTTTAGGAAGGTAAAATGAATCACAGGTTGACTATAGAAAGTATACTAGGGATCTACCTAAGGCAGAAAAGAAAACTGTTATTGCAGTGTGCCCTACCCCTGAAAACAGCAGACAAATGTTTAGTTAAACCTGGTTTGACTGAATGAAAATGAAACAGAGGACTAAAAAAACTGAATTTTTCACAGGATTCAAGTAGTCACTCACTTGTATTTTAAATGTGCAAAATTTTGAGTCAACAAATACCAGTTTAAGCAGCTATGGAGAAGACAATTTTCATCTGTGTTTAAAAAAAATCAAATCAAAACAGCTGCAAAACATGTTTAAGCTTTGGTGTGAATAGGTCAAGTCATACTTCTCTGATCATACAAAAACGTCATGACAAAAATCATCACCTTTGTCCAGTTTGTCCTTTCATTTATTACTCATTTCATTTTTGTCATAACATGTTATTTACATTTTTACATATTTACTAGATTGAATTGTATGTGTATGTTGTACGTGTATTGTAGTTAAAGGGTTCTAATTTATATGCACTCAGGCATTAAATAGTAAGCTAAAAAACACCTGCAATAGCAGTGTCTTGTTCCACATCATTCCCGTAATGTCAGCTAGTTATTTTTCGAAGCTGTTAAATACTTTTAAAAAAATGATCCCAATAACCTCTGTACAACATTTTACAAAACATTTCACTATAGTTAAAAGTTTAACTATTTCTCAGCCACATGGAATTAAACCTTTAACTCCCAGAAGTAATTAATATGTAACTTATTCCTACAATATTCGTACACTGTCCTGCAAACAGGTGATGAGAGTACTAAAATTTATTAAGTGGAAGTTGTTACCTTGACATACCACCAAATTCTTGTAACTAATTTACAAGGATATGTGCAGTGGCTAGATGGGAGAATTAGCAATCATATCTTTGGAGTTAAAGAGTTTAACAAGACAGGGAGAGTCTAAAAGGGATCACTGTCATCTTGCACGTCTTCCTCTTCCTCTGTGGTGTCTTTCTTGCTTCTTGTATGGGTGAGACCTTAATTGCTCACTCTGGACTAGAAGAGGATGTTTTCCTTGGCCAGATGGTTCTTTTTCATGTCCACTTTCCATCAGTTTGAGCTTGGCCTCAATTGCTTGTATCTTGGAGTCACAGCTGGAGAGAGAAGGAAAAAGATTTTGAATATTACATCAACCTACCCACACCATGAAGCTATCAACAGTTGATCGAAAATCCATGTTACATTTTGAAATTTTGCAAAATGTAATAATCACATATGGGGATAGTCGTGTCTTAAGACCACAATAGATGCAATACTTTAGTAACATCACCAACTTAATAACAGGGTGTATACCTTGTTGTTTTAAGCAGCAACAAAATTGATATTGTTCTTGGCATGTGCTGATAGCCAGTTTTCAAGTTATGATAATTTTACAACAGGAGAGAATAAGGATAACCAAATTTACAATATCACCAATTGTTTTTCTTCTCTCACCTATCTAGTGAACTTTGTGATGAGCCTGGAGTGGTTGCTATAACTTTATCTTTCTCTTTCTTTCCCTGTATGAAGACATGACATGTTAGATATGTCTAACATATATTGTGGGACCAGGTGTATTACAACTTCCTCAGGATATCACCAAGTTCCTAACAGTCCACTGATAACCAGTCACATTGTATACTCCAGGGTAAAGAAAGGGCTCTGTGAGAGTGGAGAACACAACACATTGACCCAGATTCCTCTCTTTTGTTTTACCAATGAGACACAAAGATAAGTAAGACCAGGTAAAGCATAGTTTTTTTAAATAACTGGTAAGTAAATCTGCTAAAAATTAAAGATGAAAACAATGGTGCTGAAGTCTACAACTGAGTTGAGTAAATGGCTGTGAATTTATGAAAGTCATAACTGCAAAGATTGCTTTCATATCCATGAGTTAAGTAAATTTGCCATGGTAAAGAGTTCTGTGAGCTTTCACTGAGTGCCCACTCAGCTACAAAATCCTTTATTCTAATGAGGTTCCTAACCAGTGACCTCTACTAAGAAGGTATTAAATAACTCAATTCTAACATCAACTCTGCTTTCCCACTTACAGCCTCTCCAGTTTTTTTCCTTGCCCAGTTTACGGTCAGAGGCTTGGACAGTGCTAGTTTGCCATTCAATCCAAGCAGAGCATTTTCTGCTTCCTAGAGAATTTTATAGAGCCAGACCAAAACAGAAAAAGTTCAAATACTAGTCCTCTTCATCTTGTAATGACATGCAACACTCTTCCAACTATCTACGTACCTGGAAGGTTTTGAACTCAACAAAGCAGTAAGATGGCTCTCCCTCTCTTGCACCAGATTTATGAAAATGGAGGTCAAAGTTCTTGATCTCTCCAAACCGCTGAAGAATTTTCAGGAGGTTATATCTATTTTACACAAATAAAGACATGCGTCCTAAGCTTAAAAGAACAAACCCAAAGACAGCAAAGTAAAGGTGTTTCGTAGGCCTGGTGCAACTAAAAAAAAATTTTAAAGAAGCACTCATGTAAACCAGTCATAATCTCGAGCTTTGTATCTTTTTCGGAATGCATTTTTTCAGGCTTTTTAACACGCTGAGAGGGTAATACAAACGAATTCTAACACCATATTAGCGTAATTTCTGAAAAAGCTATGAGATGCTTTAGTTGTTTGGGCAAGCTGTTCACTCACTCGCTCAGTCGCCTGTCCAAGTTACCAACCCATATGGTCGATTTGTTATTCAAAGTTTTCTCTTTTTCCTAAAAAAAACGAAGAAAAAATTTTGAATTGGGTGAAAAAGGAAAAACTAGTCGTTTAGAATATAACCTCATTATTTAAAGGTGTACCTTTCCGTCACTTGAGGTAGCCATGTTGATACAGTTTCATTACCGTTACACAACGTATTCCTTCGAAGAACTCCCTCGATCCATCCCTTCCCGTCCAATCACAACTAATGGCGGACAAGGGGGAAGAAAGTCATTCGCAAAGATCGAGCAAGCATTCTAAAGAATCAGCTCGAAAGGTATGTCTTTAAATTTTATCGTATGGCCAATACTTCTTTTTTTAACCGAAGTACAGTCTTGAGGGATCATGCCACAGCAGCCTCTGCAGATTTTCCATTTTTCTTAACTGTGAGAGTGTTAAACTTCAATAAATAAACAGAGAAAACAGAGAACTTCTCATGCGACCTCTGTCGGAAATTACAACTTTGACCCTTTCTTAGAAACTCTTTTCCAAGTACCAAGTGGTGCATGAGGTGTATTGTTTTAATTTATAATCCTGTTCACGACAGGAGTCAAGGAAACATAGAAAAAGAAGTCGAAGTTCTGAATCAGGCTCTGATAGTTCAGGATCGTCGCGCAGTTCCATCAGCCCAGCAAGGTAGGAAGATAATTTCTCGCACAGCTCACATGATATAAGAGAATAATTGTAGAACTTTAACCCTTTAACTTCCAGAAGTGATTTAAATGTAACTTCTCCCTACAATTAACTTATACACTATCCAATAAACAGGTTATGAGATTACACAAACGTATCAGTCAGAGGTTGTTATAATGATATAACACCAAATTCTTGTAACTAAATACAAGGAAATGTATAACAGCTAGATGGGAGAATTAACAATCAGATCTTGGGAGTTAAAGGATTAAGAGATGTTCTGTTAAAACTAGTACGAAAAATAACATCTTTACTTGAAAGGTGGACATTTGCCCCATCTTCAGTTTCTCAATAAAATGTTTTTACTCATTACTTTTTTTATACTGAATTAAGAAATCAAATTACATGTCAGGAAAAAATCTAGAACCTCTAAATTGAAGAAAAGAAAGCCAAGGAAAAGTCCATCGACAGAAACAGACAGAAGTGGTGATTCTACTGACTCAGAGAAAAGAAAGAAAAGACACAGGAGGAAAGAAGACAGGAGAAAACAGGTACTAGAGCCTATAACATTACAGTGCAGATCATTGTTTATTCTGAGGATATTTAGGGATTTAATTCAATTCTTAGCTGAGTTGAAAAAGTTTTATATCAGTCTTGATGTACCTTAAGCATTACAGCTCACTTCTCATTGGTCATTTCCAAGTTCCAAAAACCTCCACCTCAAATCATGGGAAAACCATCATTGAATATGACTGTAATTCTCAGGCAATGGTTGTTCAAAGGTCAGTTAACACTATCTGCTGGATAAATCTCTATCCAGTGGATAATGCCGTTTTGCTGTCACTTATCCACTGGGTACCGATTAATCTGTTTGATAGTGTTTTTCAACCTTTATACAACTGGGCCCAGGAGAATAATGAATAATCATTACATCAAGGGCTTTACACGTATGTGTAGAGGGGACTAACTCTGTTGAAACAGAATCTTAATAGCTAGCATGCAAGCCGATTCACAATGTCTGAAGAAATGCTTTTGTCAAAGGGCCATTGAAAGCATTACTTCCAGGCTAGGGTTTGGGCCATCTCAGAAAGGGCTAATATTTTGTCCAAAGTTCTTGCATGTGGTTATTTGCTACCAAAATCATGTCTTATATTTACTTGGCTTCTTTGAATTCATTTTAAAAACAAAGTGAAAGAGCTGGGCTCCTTGGATTCTCAAGATATTTATCAAGCAGCCTTGATATAAAAATAATCAAATTATTTTTCTGAGTGCATAGCTTGGTTTGTCATAGGGCAAGAAAACAAGGAAAAAGAAAGAGAAAACAAGAAAAAAAAAAATCAAGTCAAAGACAGCTGTCAATCAAGACAAGTATGGCAAATATGGAATCTTGGTGGAAAGTGACATTTTCAACAAACAACAAGAATTTTACTTGTGGCTTCAAGAAGTCAAGAAAGTAAACCCTGAAGTGTTTCCCAGATCTGAAATGAAAAAAATGTTTGAAACATTTGCAGAGGACTATAACACTGTAACACTACCACATAAAAAGTAAGCAACAGTTACTGGTGTAAAAAAAAAATTATCACTATATTGAATCCTAATGTGACTAACCCCCAGTAAATCAAATCAAATCACTTTTTCGCCCTTTGACAGATCACAAGATTTTGTTCAACCACATCAGTTAACCCTTTCACTCCCAAGATCTCGATAGTAATTCTCCTCACTGTCTGCTATACAATTCTTTTAATGTTAGTGTGGAGAATTTGGTATTGGATCAACTAATAATCCCCTAATTGATATTTTTCTTTATTCTCATCACTTGTCTGCTTGATATGTAGATTTTATGACCTGGAAAAGTGGGAAGCCAAACAGAGGAAAAAAGGAAGGCTTAAGGCTCTGAAGAAAGCACAAAAGCAACAGGTTTCAATTGAAAATGATGAACTCAGGCATAAATCACTTCACTCTGGACCAACAAGACCTGGTAAGAAAACCGGACACATAGGAAAGAAACAGCTCTGCTATCAGTAACATTTGACATGGGTGGCTGTCTAAATGGAAGAAAGGGAGTTACTCAGACTAGAATACTTGCCAGAGTGGTAGCAAATGCAGGGTCTTCATGCCAGCAGTGAGACAGCAAGAATATGTTGCTCACCTTAGATGAGATAAATACATTTATTTGACAAGCTTAATTGTCCACATTTTGATTGGGTCTTATACTTATCATTTATTAGAAGACAGATGTGTAGATGATGTCACCATCAACAACATTCTGCTTTTTTATCGTAAAAACAAATAGATTCTGTGTTTCTGTGGGTCTGTACAGTAAAAGATTACAGAAAACAAAAAATGTGATACAAACATCAGTGACACACTCAATTGTGCCACACGAGCCACTTTGATGTTCTCACCATATTTCAATGTTGTCTTTGATCTGTTACCCAACTGATGCACAGCAACATGCAATCTATTTGATGATCCAGAAAAAAAATGGTGAACCTTATTAACATTAAGGTTAATTTTTGTTTGTTCATACAGGAATGAGCAAAGCAGATTTACTTGAAATGCAGCGAGTTATGAGAGAAAGACAACAGGAGGATTACAAGAAAAAGGCTGGCATGAAACTTGATGAAACTAAGGGTGTGAGATATCACACAATGAATCCATAACTTTTTACTTGAATTAACAAAATTTTTACCCTTTCCCATCTGACCGTGCCATATGGCACTCACATATACCACCCCTCAAATAAACATTATATGTTCCATATACACTTTTTATGGCTTTATTCTTGGAGGTATTCCTAGAGGTTGCCAAAATATTTTTTGTCTTTATTTCCATGCTAATTTTGATTTTATTAAGTACAATACCATTGAAAATAATTATTCTAACATTGTACTAGAATGTAATGTACAATTCATTACTGGATAAACATAAAAGCAAAAATATGCAACAACTCTCTTCACTGGCAAACATTTTGTAATGCACAATGAAAATAACCTCAAGCTTGTTATCTGTTTATAACTATATTTATATGGTGAAATGAAATGGTCAAAAAACTATCTATTTCCTTCAGAAAGTAAAGTTTTTTTCTTATCTCATGTTTTGGTTTTTTAATTACACTCCAACTTCATGTGTTTTTACACAGCTCTTCACATCCTGGATTTTGTCACTTTGGGTGTTGCTGTCTTTGACTAGCTTGAATTGAAAGCAAACTATTTCAAAATGCTTTCCTTTTATATTTATTCTACTTTTCAACTGATCAATATATTCATTATATTGAGTCACTGTTCTGCCTTAATTTATGAAGTAGGCTGATTGTCCAAGGTTGAGCAGTCCTGAAAAGGATTGTTGCCAGTAGAAATGACTGATATTTAAACAAACTGAGTTGAAGTTGCTCTGAGCACAAGTGAATTTGATAATGACTTCCTCGTCAGCATGCAAACATCATCACTACAACTGTCAACAGTCCTTATCAGGACTACTCCCACCTGGACAATCAGACTGAAAGAACAACAGCTACTCCTGGGTTCAAAGCTCTCACTGCTCTTTTTTTAAGACTCTTAAAACAAATGCAATAAAATTGTGATCGTAAAACATAAATTTATCTTGTGGTTTGATACAAACTTAGTGTTTGGTAAGGTGGCAGTAGAAAGTACACTGAATATTTTGACAAGCAACGTTCAGTTTTCCTCAACAATGGATTTTTCCACTTTATCAAACTGGTAAGTCTCAAATAAAGACTTACATTTTATACCGCTTTTATCAATTTCTTGCAAATTTAGAGTGGACAAAAATTGCAAAGCTTTTTGCTTGTCAAGCCTTAAAGGTTTACCAGAGTCTTCTGATCTTTCTGCATTTAGAATAAGACCTTGGACATCAGAATTCACTGTATCATGTTGCTGAGAAGTCTTTGGGAAGTCTTTTGATGAAGGTCCCTTTGAGTGTGTTCTTCCTGGCTCCACCTCCATAGACTCTGCTAATGTACCAAGCATCTTTACTTGCAGGGTCTCTACTTCCTGATCAGTTCTCTGCATGCAAAGAGCATCTCGCTCATTGTTACTTGAAGAGTGTTTTCTAACCAAATTCCTTGCCGGTGAACTTGTAAGTTTCATTGTCTTTGTAAGTTTCACTGATTGCCTTCTTTTTCCTGATTGGCAGTGCTCATCTATGTCTTTTTCCTTCATATTGTCTATTAATACATGACTCTTCCTCTTTAAGACTCTTAAAGGGGAAACCTCAGCAGGAGTTGGTTGTTTATCATGTTCCTTCCAATTACACCATGGAAAACAGTGTTTCACCGGAACAACGTGAACATCACCAACATGTTTTGGCTTAAGAATTATTGACTTTCTTGTTGCTGCAGTTGCTTCAATGTCCATGATGCCATCTAACCCCACTTTGTGGAGAGTTTGCACTGAAATGTCATCAAATATGTTAGATTATGATAATTTCAAGAGAATCTAAACTCTAACCTGCATCTGTTTTCAACGGAAAGCCCAAAGCTGATCTCTGATTGTTGGTGGGATGGAAATTTGCGTTAATCATGTTCTGGCAATCAGCCCTACACAGTCTTGTCACAGTCCTGGCTGATGGGTGCAGAGCTGCACACTGGGATAACCTTCTGTCCATATTGTCTTCAGGGTACAGGATCAGAGACAGATAAATGGTTTTTCCGTTAGGAAAGGGTCAAGCTTAAAATACGGAGATTCATCCGCATAAGCAATTCAAGGGTTGGAGCGATGAAATTCCGCAAAACAATAATTATGGCGGGATACAAGGTTATGCCAAACGGTTTGAATATGACAGGTAATTTAGTGTTAACAACTGGGTTGAAAACGTAAATTAGCCACCGTAAAGGGTAAAAAAGCTAACGTTTCGAGCGTTAGCCCTTCGTCAGAGCGATTGGTTTGAGCGGTTTGAATATGAGTTAAATAACAACTTTGATTTGATCTGAATCAAAAGAATCTGATAGAAGTATAGATTAACTAGTTGTTTGTTAATTCCTCCTAACTCCCTGGATGCTAGAGACTAGCAAACAATAATTCTGTACCTGAATTAGCTTGTTAACTGTTATCTTCGTTCGCTCGCACAAATTTCGCGCCCTGTTCCCCGACAATCTCCCCAGTGATTTTATGCGTGATCCGGCGGGAGGCTTGGGAACTAAACAATTCAAAATGGCGGAAAGACTTGCTTCTCAAACATTGCAGAAATTTGCTGAATTAGAAGAGCTCGCTCAAGAAATAATGGAAGATAAACAACAGGTATAGATATTTCAAAGTGAAATAATTACATA